CTGGAGTCTGCCAAGTGTCACTGGCCCTCATGTGGGATCCGAACCGGGGCCCTGCTGCTCAGAGCCGGCATCCCAAGCCAGCTCTTAACCAACGTGCCACTCGGCTGGCCCCGCCATAGAACCCCTTTTTCGTTTACAGGTTCATTAGACTATTCTCTCCACTTTAATGTGTCTAAAATTTCCATTAATAAAAAGAATTTAAATTAAAAAGCATTTAAACATTTTGGTATACTTCTTACCAGTCTTTTATCTGGGCATTTCCTCCAATTGTTAGGATTTTCTGGCACATAGTAAGCCCTCAATAAACATTGGGAGAAGCCCCATAGCTTAATGGTTATGAAAACAGTTCTGAGACGGAAACCTGCTTGCTTCTTACTAACTGTGGGACCCTGGGTGAGTCAATGACTTCTGTTTCCCATCTATAAATCGGGCTGGTAAATTATGTCCACCTCCCAGGGTTGATGTGAATACTAAATAAATTATGACATGTAAAAGACTTATTTTTTTCCCTTTTTCTTCATGTTTATTATTCGTTCCAGGTAAAAGATTTTCTTGTGGAACCATGTTCTTTTATGTGTCATAATTTATTTAGGTTAACAGTTCCCCATAAAATTAAACAGAGTTACCATGTGATTCAGCAATTCCACTTCTCGGTTATCTACTCAAAAGAATTGAAAGCAAAGACTCCAACAAATATTGGCACACACATGTTCATTCCAGCATTATTCATAGTAGCCAAAAGGTGGAAGCAACCCAACTGTCTATTGACAGATGATGGATAAGCACAGTGTGGTCCATCCAGACAATGGAATATCATTCCGCCTTAGAAAAGGACATCCTGACACCTGCTATAGCATGGATGGGCTCTGAAGACATTATGCTCAGTGAAATACGTCAGACATAAAAGGACAAATACTGTGTGATTCCACTCATGAGGTCCCCAGAGGAGTCAAATTTGTGAGTAAAAAAAGGTTCTGTGGAAAGTAACTTTCTGGGTGATCATAAAATCCTAACTGGGCAGGTCATGGAGGGTAGTCAGGCGCAAAGCATGTAACTTTTTGGTAAAATGTTTCTCTTTGTCTTAAGCCAGCATCGGGGCTAACACACTTTTGAAATGCCTATCAGATCTCTCCTTCTAAAGAATGCAAGAGAGCACATCATCTTAGCTATCCTGTAATGGTAAAATGTTTCTCTTTGTCTTAAGCCAGCATCGGGGCTAACACACTTTTGAAATGCCTATCAGATCTCTCCTTCTAAAGAATGCAAGAGAGCACATCATCTTAGCTATCCTGTAATCCAATCACCATCTTACTTTCTCCCACCTTCATATAATCTTATGATCCCTCTTTAATCTCAAATGCATAAAAGATACTGCAAACTGTTCTCCAAAGCATTTTTCTCCGCCTATCGAGATCTTGCTTCCAGGTGTATCCTGTCTGGGTCAAATAAATTTTTATGAAAATTCTCTATAGGTTTGGATATTCTTACATTGATAAATCCAGAGACAGAAAGTAGATGGTGAGGGCCAGGGGCTGGGGGAGGGGGATGAGCAGTTAGTGTTTAGTGAGAGTGTTTCAATTTGGGAAGGTTGAGCAAGTTCTAGAGATGGACAAAGGGGGACGGCTGAACAATGGTTAATGTACTTAATGCCATTGGACTGTACACTTAAAAATGGTTGAGGGCCGGCTGAGTGGCACATTGGTTAAGAGCTGGATTGGGACGCCAGAGGGCCCCGGTTCGGATCCCACATACGAGGGCCAGTGACACCGCCCTCTACAGCTAAGATACTGAACAACAGCTCGACCTGGAGCTGGGCTGCTGTGAGTCGCCGGCGACGGCGTAGGCTGCAGCCCCTGCTGCAGTGGGTTGCCATGGGCTACCGTGTGTTGCCAGCAGCCAGCGTGAGCGGCCAGCAGCCGCCATGAGCAGCCGTCCAGAAGCCGGCGACTGATCTGCCTCACCCAGGAAGAGCGCAATGATGGTGTCAACTTGGGCCAGTGAAGCAACGTCCTCCACAACTAGACTGAAGAACAAAAAGACAGCAACTTGTCTGTTCCCCTTCCCCCAATTCCCCAGCGCTGTTCCCATCATCCAATTCCCCAATTAAAAAAAAAAAATGATTGATAGCAACTTGTCTGTTCCCCTTCCCCAATTCCCCAGCGCTGTTCCCATCCACCCAATTCCCCAATAAAAAATCTTTAAAAAAAAAAAAAAGTTTGAGATGGTAAATTTTATGATATGTGTATTTTACCATTAAAACAAAATTAAAAACCCTGAAGACAGTGCCTGGCACAAAGTATGTTGTGCATGTTAAATCAGACATTAGAGTAACTGAAATAGCACCTCCAAGGTGACAGGCACATCAGTCTTGTTCCCCAGTAATGTGCCCAGGGCCTAACTAATCTGAGACTCCAGAAAGACCTAACCTTTGCTTGAAACCCTTCCAGGTGTCTCATGGCTTCACCTGGCCCTTCTGAAGCCTGTTCAACCTCTGCCCTCTCCACACCCCATCATGCCCAAACCCACAGGAGTCGGCACCCCCAGGGTCTGTGTAAATGATCTCTGGAGAGTGCACCCCACCAGATCCCCCACCCAGAGTGCTCCTTGGCCCAGAGCATGCGCCCTGGCTCACCCCAGCTCACATTAACACAGCCCCTGCAATCCTGAGTGCTTTGGGAGGGATGTCTGGCTTTGCCCATCCCTCTAATAAGGCAGCTAGAACCTGGAATCTGAAGGGCGTGGATCTTCCCATGGTGGCTCTCCTAGGGGTCAAGGACACATACACTGGGTCACGTGGTCAGTGCAGAGAGGGGCTAGCCATGCCTACTCCTCCTCTTCCACAGTGGAACTGACCCAAGCCAGCCCTGCCCACATGGATGTGGGGAGAAGCAGAAACCCAGGTCACCTCCCCCACTCTCCTCCCCATCACCAGCGTCCTACTGGGCCCTCTTCAGAGGTCTAGGATGGAGAGAGCTGGATGGGGCTGGTATCGCCAACATCTCCTCGGCCAGCCCTTTGCCAGTCCTTGCTGGGACCCCAGGTGAGGTGATGGCCAGGTGGGGAGTAGATGGAAGCAATGAGCAGTCCAACCCTAGGGCTGGGAGTCAGGAGCAGTGGGCACAGTCCATCCCCTCCTGGAGGGCTGTCCTCAAGTCCTAGAGCTGGTGGTCCTTGGGCCAGCGAGTTTAATGTCAACCCTCAGCCTTCCCTCCCTCCCTCCCTGCCAAAGGGGCAGTTTGGAGAGGGTCCACCCCACCCTTAGCCACCCTGAGAGCCCTGTGGTCAGCTCAGGGGGCCTCTGCACGGTCCTGGGCAGAGCTCAGGCCTGGTCTTCTAGCTCCCTGTAGGCTGAGCCGGCGGTGCAGCCCACTGCAGGACATGTGCAGTGAGGAGCCTGGCTCAAGGGTGGCCACCTGGCGGGGAGAAAGAAGACAAAGGTGCAGCGGCAGGTTTCTGTCCAGGAAGTCGGATTATACATTTTAGTAACGGGCCAGAGAAATGAGGCATCGGGCAACAGTGCAGGAGGGGCCACAGGGAGAATAAGAGATCCGAGAGCTGGGGTTTGGCGTCAATCTTACAAAGTGTATAAAGAATCTGTGTTTCTCTACAGTAACAAAAAAACCAAAGGCTACAAGAGCGGTTGTATATACAAAACACGGAGATATTGCTTCACTTGCAAATAGGTTCCTGACCAGACAGGGAGACAAGACAAAGGGAAGGGCACAGAGAAGGGGGGGGAGCGCGCTGCGTGCAAAAAGGAGGGGAGATGGGGAGGGGGGGTCTTTTCCCAGCATAAATCTACAGGCAGGAGCTGGAGTCACGCACGCATGGGAGAGGCTGGAGGTCAAATGCGTGTGCCAGTGCTGGCTGTGCGTGGGGAGTGGGGTGCCGGGAGCCTGTGTCTGCCTGCCCCGGCCCCCTGGTCACATACTCTTCAGGCTTCAGCCCACAGAGGGTTTCTGGGTAGGGACTGAGGCCAGCTGGCCAGAGAGGGAAGGAGGCATTGCTCCCTGGAGTCTGCCATGGAAAACTGCAGAAGCCTGCTTAGTGAGCCCATCCTCATGCCTCTGGCTGGCCCTGTCCATCGGGCCACCCTCTCTGCCCCGCCCAGAGGCCCACTGGGACCCAAGAAGAGCAGGTGCAGCAGCCAGGGCTTAGAGCTATCCTAGGGGGGGACGGGAGGTGCCGCCCGACTCCTGCTCTTCCTAAGCCCCAGTAGGCTGTGCGGAGCTCAATGGGAGTGTGGGAGCCGGTCTCAGAGGGACAGGCGGTCAGGGCAGGGAGGACAGCGCGATGAAGGGCAGGCAGAGGAAGAGGACGTGCACGCACACTCGGATGAGGTGCGAGGCGGTCACAGGTTCTGGCAGCACTGTAGCTTGTTCGGTTTCTGTCCGTCGGTCGTGGGCGGGACGCTGATGTCCACCACATTGTTGCCGGGGGACTCATCGTGCGCTGCGCGGTCTGCTATCTGCTTCTGTGACACAATGCGGTAGATCTCTGCAATGAGGAGATGCAGGTGAGTGCCCAGTGTGGCCCTGCCTGCGGGGACTATCTGCAGAACTCATCTGGAGGTCACCTCCACTGGGGAATGCCCCCAAGGCTGTGTCCAGGGCCCCGCCCAAGGGACCCTACTGTGCCCTACCTGCTCCCCATGACATGAGGGTTTCCCCTGTGTACTCAGCAAGGGCAGAACACATCTGGTCACAGACGTGCCCCCAGCCCAGGCCTCTTCGTGAAGATCAGAGACCGCCACCTCCTCAGAATAAACTCCCGGAAGCCCAGAGCCTCTGGGCCTGAGGCCACCCACCTCCCCAGCTGGCTGTTCCCTGGTGAGCCATGGCAGGACCCACCCACTGGAGCTGAGTCCAGGGGGGGGTCTCTGGGTCCTGAGTGCCAACAGGGGCGGGATCTGGCCTGACCTCGTGGAACATGACATTTATCCTCCTGTCCAGACTGACTGGCAGGTTTAAGGAATGAAGGTTCAGGGGCTGCATTCAGGAACATGGGACCAAAACGGCTGGTGCCCTTCCCATGCCACCCTCAGTGGACCTGACTGGGGTTCCCATGGCCCCGCCAGCCCTGGGACCACCTGTGAGGATGTTCTTGAAAGCTTCCTCTACGTTGGTGGAGTCCAAGGCTGAGGTCTCAATGAAGGACAAGTTGTTCTTTTCTGGAACAGAGAGAATATTGCCCAGGTGAATGGAGCGGTGGTGGTGGTGGCGGTCTGTGTGGGAGGGGCTCCCTTGCACCCACTTGGGGACCCAGCCTGCCACACCTGGACCAGTAAATGAAGGGCTGGGGCCAAAGGGGTAGGACCGAGATGCCCACTCCTTATGAGGAGGCTGGCACTAAAGCCAAGGGAAAATGGGAGGGGCCTGGAGGCAGCTGCCTGCCCTTCAGACACTTCTGTACCGCCTTAGTCACAGACCTGCTGTCACAGCTGGACCCTGCGGGAGGCCCTGGCCCCAAGTGAAACCCTTCTCCTCCGACGGGCAGGCACTCACCTGCGAAGGCTCGGGCCTCGTCAGTGGGCACAGCCCGCAGGTGGCGCAGGTCGCTCTTGTTGCCCACCAGCATGATGACGATGTTGCTGTCGGCGTGGTCCCGCAGCTCCTTCAGCCAGCGCTCCACATTCTCATATGTCAGGTGCTTGGCGATGTCATACACCAGCAGTGCGCCCACTGCACCTCGGTAGTACCTGTGGGGACGGGGGGCAGGGCCCAGCCGTGAGGTGCCTGCTAGCACCCCACAGGGGCCCCCAGGCTCTGTGGGCAGCAGCTCCTGGGCCCACGCACAGAGCCAGCTGAGGGGCAGCCGTCCTGGACTCAAGAGGAGGACTCACGTCCCAGATTCAGCTCAGGACTGTAGGGGACTAAGAAGGGAGTTCAGGGCCTGGAATAAGAAGACACCCACAAGTCCGGCCACAAAAAGGGGAGAAGGAAACAGTGCCATGCAGGGAAAGGGCTGCTGCTGGGCAAAAGCTCCGGTGCCTGTCGTGGCCAGGCCCACCGAAGGGACCAATGGACACACATTAACCCAGAGAGGTTAAGGAGATGAGGAGGTGACCAGGCCTCAGTGGAGGGCATCCACAGGACAGCAAGTGACAAATGGAGGAGTGGCCGGGAGGTTGGATAGGTCTAGGAGGAAGCAGCTCGAGTGGGTCCTGATGGCTGGGTGGCCATGGGGAGCTGAGGGAAGACTGGGAACATGGCCAGGCAAGGCGGGCCAAGCAGGCAGGGCTGGGGGGCAGGTAGGGTGGAGTGGACCACAGCAGGCCCTGATAACAGCCCCCACTGTGCAGCCAGCACCCAGCAAAATTGCAGTGCTTCAGGGGGACTCCAGGGTCAGAGGCGCTGTGGGATATGCCCACCAGGAGTCACAGTATGGTCCTGAGGGTCCCACAGCTGCTGGGGGTCTTGTCTCTCCACCCTGAGCCAACTGTTCTCAAGGTTGTACTCTCACCTTCTCCTCCTGCCCAACTCCTACCCATCCTTTGGGGCCCACTGGCCCCATGCACATGGCCTCCTGCATCTCCTCATCCCTGCCACTCACGCAGAGGTGATGGCGCGGTAGCGCTCCTGGCCGGCGGTATCCCAGATCTGTGCCTTGATGGTCTTGCCGTCCACCTGGATGCTGCGAGTGGCAAACTCCACACCGATGGTGCTCTTGCTCTCCAGGTTGAACTCGTTGCGGGTGAAGCGGGACAGCAGGTTGCTCTTCCCCACGCCTGAGTCCCCGATGAGCACCACTGTGGGGACGGAAAGGGATAAACATGAGGCTCCACGGGCCAGAGCAGGGCAGCACCCCCAAGCCAAGACCCATGAGCCACCCATGTCCACCTTCAGAGCCTTCACAGCAATGCCTTGGGTGTTACAGACATGTGACAGCCAACAACAAAATGGAGTCAGAGATGTCCTGGAGCCCCTCGCTGTATGCACATTTCCCAGCGCAGAAGCCAACAGCAGCTCCGGGCTTCCACAAACACAGCCACTGCAGACAGCACAATACCCCTTCCTTGTGTCTAATCCTTCAGAGCAGGGCTGTCCTAGCTGGGCATAGGGACCCAGGCATCCCGGCAGGCAGGGGATCCATCAAACCCCAAACCTCCATTGCAATCTGGTGGTCGGAGTAAGCTCCAGGGCTGGGCAACCTTGGGCAAGTAACTTAACCTCTCTGGGCTGCCTTTTCCACAAGTGTGAAAAGAAAGAAAGGAACATGAGCCACCTCGGGGAAGGGAACACAAGAACTTGCAGGTCAGAACGCAGTCAGCATCCAGCCCACTAAGGCAGGTAGGGGAGCAATTATTACTATTGTTCCACCAGGTTCCTACCTACAAGGGTCTGGCTCTGTGTAGTTTTAAGTAATAGGAAACGAGAAGCCTCACACCCCACGCCCACCCCGCTGCTTCCTCATGGAAAGCTGCTGCAAGCAAACCCACACACAGCTCAGCACAGCCAACTCACCCAAGTGAGACAGGATGTGCCCTCTGGAAGCAGCCTGGAGGGGACAGAGCCTGCTACCCCTCCTGTCACCCTAGCCCCAGGGTCGGATCACCCTGCAGGAACATCCAGAATGATAGCCCTCTTGAACAGGGCAGAGCAGGCCTGGTGGGTCTCTCCCTTTAGCGGTGGGGCCCTGAGAAATGGTCCAGGAAGGGTCTGGGCCCTAGAGGGTCATCCTCAGACCCAGGGCATACTGGTGGTGACTTGTATCCACGTGTGCGCACACACGCTTGGGTGTATGTTCAGCACAGAAGGAACAACACATGGCAGTCTGACCAGATGCCCCACCTGGGAGCCACATGGAGCCTCAACTGTGGGTCTTGGGCTCTGGAACTGTGGATGGGTCAGCTCAGTGGAGGGCTGCAAGCTTGGTCACCCTTGACCCTGATGAAAAGTTTCTCCTCAATTAAAAATGTTATATGTGTGTGTCCGCAATCACCCTCACTTCTTACAACCTTCACTGCCAGGACCCTACTCTAGGCCACCACCATCTCTCCCTGGGTTGCTGCACCAACCTCCTCCCTGGTGTCTTTGAGGTTCCTCTCATCTCGAACCAAGAGACTGTTCTCCCCTCTGCAGCCGCCAGAGGGCGCCCGTGAGCACCCAAGTCAGATTCTGCCTCTCCTCTGCCCACAGCCCTCCAGGGCTCCCACCTCCCTCTGGGTAAAAGCCCAAGTCCCCCCCTGGCCTACAATCTACATGACCTTCCCCTGTCCCCTCCCTATGCTCACCTCCTTTCTCTCCCTCTCACTCACTCTGCTCCTGGCACATGGGTTCCCTCAGGACTCAGTGATGTGCAGGTGCAAGCTGCCCTTTGCCTGGAACATTCTTCCCTGGGAATCCACCTGCTTTCCTCCCTCAGCTCCTCTGTGTGAGGCCTGATCAAGGAGGCCCTCCCTGCTGTTCTCTTAACACTCCCCATTCCCCTGCCTTGTCTTTCCTCCCCAGCTCTCCCCACCCTCTCACACTGGCCAGGTTTCACTTATTTGTTGTTCACCAGTCTGTCTCAAGGGCGAGATCTCAGACAGTCTGGTTCCCTGCTGTATCCTCAGGGTCTGGCGCAGGGCCCGGCACAAAGGACAGCGTGAACAAACAAATGATAAAGCGGCTGTGGAGTCTCTCAGGCCCACCTCCTCCCTCACTTGGAGGGTGCCAAGCTCACCATCCTCAGGCGACAGTGGAGGAGGCAGCCCCACAACGCAGCACCCTCTCTGGACTGGCTGCCAAGAACAAGAAGAATAAGCCAAGAACAATAAGAATAAGGACAATGCTTAAAAATGAATCTGTGCTGAGAAAGCCTCTGATCTGCATCACCTCACAGAAGCCTCATGTAGCCCATTTTACAGATGAGGAAACTGAGGCACGGGCAGGGGCCTCAGACAAGGCCCAAAGTGAGCAGAAGGTGGCCGAGCAGAGGTCTGAGCAGGCTTGATCCCGTTTCTCAACTGTGCTCACCAAGGCCACCCAGCTGAAAAGTGGTCTGGCAGGATTTGAATCCAGGTTTTCTGAGTCTAGGGCTGAGCTCAGGGGTCTGAGTTCAGCCCCTTCCTCTCCCACTACCTGGAGCATCTTGACCCCCTGGAGTAGCCGGCAAACTCCTGCTCATCCTTCAAAACCCCCCGGTTCAGGCCTCTTTTCTCCCCACAAATCACCATGTGGCCTGGCCCACAAGACCTGTGACGACAAGACCAGTGCCCTGACTTCAGAGAAACGTGGAACACAGGTGGATATGGATATGGGCCTGCCGAGAGCGCCCAACCATGCTGGTGGGCCCCGAATCGACTCCCAGGCCGCGTAGGGCCAGGCCGGACGGACTGTGGGGCCCACCATTCACACCCCCAACCCCTCACCTCCTTCCTATAGTGGCCACAGGAACCTGGCCAAGGCCAGGGAGGTTTGCTCACAGTTCTCACGTCCTCAGGAACAGAACAGGAAATGAGGAGAGTCCCTTTTGGGTTCTGACCGGTATACCCCAACCCCTCACTTCCTTCCCAGCTTTGTCCCAGTGTCAGGGTCTCCTTAGCTCCATCAGTTCTGCCCTGGCCCAGCCAACAATCTCCTCAGCGCCACAGGCCAGGCCCAGTCCTAAGGGCTTTATTATTGAGATAAATGTCATATTATCATTCCCCTTGTACAGCTGGGGACACTCAACCCAGAGAGACCAAGTCCTCCAGCCCAAGGTCACCCTGTGAGAACAGTGGAGGCTGAAACAGTATGAGGGCCACCAGTCAGTTCCCAGATGAATGGTGGGAAAGCCAGGCTGCCCGGGCACTCCCTGGCACAGGTGCCCGACGCAGAGAGGTGGCCAGCAGCGCAGGGGCCGGTCTGGCCCTGTGTACACGCTGGGAATGAGAACAGCATTGTCAAAGGCACAAGTAATCTGTTGTCTTGGGGAAATAAAGGGCCTTTGAGGACAAGGCCCCCAGCACTTCCACAGAAGTTGGTGGCATCAATGGCCAGGAAATGGCTTCTCTGGACAGGCCACTTGGCTGGCAGGGAAGGCAAGCCCAGTTGACAAAAACAAAGAGCTGGCACCTCTTCAAAGCTTGGGTCCTCCGGCCCACCCCAAGACAGTGTGGCACCACTGGGGCCCACACTTTGACGTTCAGGCAGACTGAGTGGCCATTCAGGAGAGGGGCAGGCTCCCCTACTCCAGGCAAAGCAGGGTCTCACCACTCCTCCAGAAGCAGCCCTGACCACCCCAGACCCCAGGGACCAGAGACCAGAGCTTGGGGGCAATCTTGTCACAGCTATTCCCAGGGGAATCAGAGAGCAGAGGAGAGGTGCCCATAGCAGGGCACAGGCAGGGCTGCTATTCACAATGGGAGGAGATGGTGCAGTCAGTTCCCGGACCAGTGGGCCCGGTGGGGTCCTGCCCAGGCTGCAGGGCCAGGAGGCTGCCTCGGGAGCACTTGGCAGAGAGAGAGGCTAGCAGGGCGGCTGGCCTGTTCCCCAGAGCCGGCTGCTACTCTCTCCTCGCCCCCTTTCCCAAAAGGACTCACAGATGGGGCAAGGATGGACACAACCCAGGGGACAAGGTCCTGGGCCACCGTGCAAACTTCCTACATCACCACCACCTCATGGGTCAGGTGAGTGGCTGGAGGTGCTGGGAAGGCCTCGGTGGCCTTTGGGGACACCAATGCTCCTCCCACTGTGGACCCCGCAGCCCAGTCTATCAGAGGAGAGGTCAGGGGAGCCCCCAGGGACTGATCGTCAGTCTGGGAAAATGGCCCACAGCTGACAGGACAAAATGTTAGCAGGATAAATGTGAGAATCTAAAATTAGGTACAAATAAACAACCTCACTCCTGGGGAAGGGGGGAATGTGCAGCGAGGAAAATAAACACCACATGGAAAACACCCTGGGGGATTTGCTGGCCTTGGCCATGGAGGTCAGGAGAGCCAACGTGTGATGTGACCGCCAAAACAAACAAGACTGGTGGGAGGGTTGGATGGGGGCAGCCAGTGTCCCCAAGTGAGAAGTATGGCCCCTCTGTGCTCAGGACAGGGACAGGGGAAGGTGACCAAAGCCTGGGGAAGGTGGGCACAGGGTAGGGGGCGAGAAGATGGCTACCCCCTTTTCTCCTAATGGGATCCCCACACCAGGCAGCAGGACCGGGGAGAAAGTTCACCTGTCAACCCTTCCGGTGCAGTTGTGTCTTGGATGTCTAATGCCCAGGCCTGACCCTCTGCAGGCCACAGGGTCTTAGGAGGGGCTGCGGGGCTGGCGCAGCATTCATGTTTCTGTCTGCCTGTCATACTTATGGCAAGCGATGTGATGGTAAAGCCTGGCCTGCCTGCTGGCTTCCTTCCTCCCTTCTTTATTTGACAAAGTCAAATAGAGTTTCTTTTTCCCATTTAAGGGAGTGAAAAACCTAAGTGAACGTAAAGACAAAAAGGGGGTCCTCGGACAAGGTATAACTATGAAGGGGAGTTAATTTCAATAACTATGAAATTGTCAGATGACAATTTAAGGAACCCTGACCTTGTGGATTAGATTTTCACTTCCAACCCGGGTTGAGAAGGTCAGCAGGGCACCTGCTGGATTCAGAAAGGGAGGCCAGTGGGGGAGAGCTGCAGCACAGGCAGGCACCTTTTGCCAGTTGTCCCAGAAGCCAGATCAGTGTTTCCAGGAAGTAGACTAGAGATGAGTCCTGGGAAGTACACAGCTGCTCCACTGCCCCTGACCCAGTAACGGTACTTCTGGGAACATACATCAAGGAAGTAACCCAAAGGGTAAAAGATGACTAGTGCAAACACTTGGAGTTGGGTTATTTATAACAGCACACAGTTGAAAATAACAAGCAAGAATTACCACAGATGCCTATAGGGGGCAACTGGGGGAATGCCCCCTGCCCTGGCAATGCCACATCCAGGCGGGTGCCCAGACCTGACCCAGGGGCAGGCTGAGTAGATACAGGCACCAGCTGCAGCAGGACTGGAGTCCAGACCACCTATCACCAGTCCCAAAAGCCCTGACAGAGCTTCCCCTACTTCTAAGGTGACACCTCAAGGTTCACTCAGCACCACAACCTTGGCCTGATGCCTGCTGCTCACACAGCCTCCTCTGCCAGTGACATATCAACCTGCAAGCAGTTCCCAGATGCCATGGTGCTGTGTGAGGACTCTGGGCCTTTGCATGGGTACTCCCTCTGCCCAATAGCTTTTTGACACATGGCTATCCCAGGTAGGCAGTGCTCCACTCACTCTCCACATTCCCAAAGTCCCCAGACCCCTGTCCCCAGGATGCTTGATGGTCAGCCAAGGCTGGCTGCAGACACAGACACACTCCCAGGCATGGCCAGGATCCCCTAATGAGTGGAAGATGCCAACAGCTGGTGTGAGAGGCAGACCCTCACACAGCAGGCAGCAGAGCAAACATGCCCTGCATGGGCCCAGTTGTTAGCTCTCAAGGGCGGCCACTGTCAGCCAGGGAGCCCAGCACAGACAGCAGAGGACCTGGCAGAGGTCCAGATTGGCACAGGTGCTGTAAAGCCAGTGACCCCAAAACCATCCCAGCTAAGAGATGTACTCCAACGACTGTAGCAAGTCTTCCTAGTTTGTGGGGTAGGGTGAAGGAGCTCTCCCACTGGCCCCAGGCCAGCAATGGCTACCTGACCTGCCTAGGCCTTACTTGAAGCTCCTAGAGCCCTCTGTCCCTCCGGCAGAGCAAATCCTCCAGCAGGTTGGTCCAGGCCTGAGGCATCAGCGCGCATGTGTTCGGGGAGGCGGTCTGACACCCCACTTCCAGATCCTGGCGCAAGCTCCCCCAGATATACTCCCCAAGTGGTAAAGCCCACAGCTGGCCTGGATTAAATTCTTCTCCAACACTTATTCACTGTGTTCTTGTCTTGTCTCCCTGGACCCCGGTTTCCAGGCTGGGTAATACTGACCTCACAAGGCTGTGGTGAGGATTTCAATGAATTCAGGTGTGTAAAGTGCTTAGAAAAGTGCAGGTACTTTGGGTAGTGCTATTAAGAGTTCTACGAGATACCTGTTAACGACCAGGCCTGGGTCCAGCACACACAGAATCCCCTCCACCAGGCGCCCCTCCACGGAATTCCGGGTCCGCACTCCACCTAGTGTCCCCCACCACACACCTCAACTCTTCCCTTCCGGGCTCCGCCCCCAGACGCACTGTCACCAATCAAGTCTGCTCCCGCCCACCCCCCTGAAGAGTAACGCCACCCCCAAATACCCAGCCCAAGTCTTGAACACGCCCACCACATTTTAGCCAGCCTCCAAGGGCCCCGCCCCACCTCATGGAGCTTTCCACCCAACCCGGCCTGACAAACGCTGAGAGGCCCCGCCCCCTCCAGGGGCTCCACCCCTAACGGCCGCTCCCACCGCTCTGGAACCCAACCCCTCTGGGCTCCGGCCCCGCCTCGACACATCCAGGGCCCTCAGGCCCCTCTGGGCCACCGGCTCCGCACGGTCGCGTATCCCAGCCCAAAGCTGACCAAACCCGGCCTGCCCCGGTCTTCCCGGCTGCTTGACCTGCCGGGCCCCAAGCTCCGGGCTCCGGCCGAGGCCCGGCGGCCTGGAGGGCAGCTCCGGCCCACCTGTTCGCTGCTGCCCTCTCGCCCGTCTGTACCCCACCGGCCGTACCTTTGAATAAGTAGTCGTATTCGTCGTCCCGGGTCCCCATTGTCCTAGCGCTTCCGGCGGGATCAGCGACTCCGCAGCCCCACCACAAACACCCTACGGGGGCGGTGCCGGTGCCGCGCAGAGCGGCTGCCGGATGACCAATCAGCGGCGAGTGGCTTAGCGACCGGCACCCAGAAGAGCCAATCAGAGGCGGAAGCAGAGCCCCCGAGGTGGGCACAGACTGGGGTCCACCCTCCTCGCCCTCGGTCTCCTGGAGAAAGGCGGAAGGAATGCGGGCTTTCTTGAAGTGACGGTCGCGTTATCCTATCAGAGGCGCACTCAGGAGGCGGAAGCCAGGAAGAATAAAATGAATTGACGGAGCGAGTAGCCAATGAGAGGCTTGATTCAAACCGGGTCCGACTAACAGAGGACCTGTCCAGGAAGGGAAATGGGGCTACGTCCAGGTGATGTTACGCTGTTTAACGTCCCGATGACGTCATAGGTCAATGCGTGCTGCTCTGGCCTCCCCCTCCCCCGCCCCCATTAATAACCGTTTCAGGGGGGGAGTCCCGGGGGAGGGGTCCCCTGGGGGATATCTTCAACCTAGAGGTTCCCTGTCCTCTGTCGGTTGCAGTTTTCATCCATACGTAAGTGGACTCATTATGTCAACCCCCTGCATCAGTTTTCCTCTTCTGTATAACAGAAAAGAAACACCTCATTGAAATTTTTGAGGATATCTATGGATCATTTCCCTAAACACATACTAACTCAACCATCCATTTTCTGTCATTAAGTCTTCGTTTAATAAATATTTATAAATTCTTACTGAGCGTCAGACTCTGTCCAACATGATCTCCTCCCCATCTCTGTCCCTTACCCTGTTTTATTATACACACACACACACACACACACACACACACGCGCGCGCGCACACACACCGCACTAGGATTTTATCACTACCTAACCTTAAAGTATGTATTTCTTTCTTGATCCATTAATCTGTTTAGTTTTTGTCCCAAGTCAACAGACTCATCAGTCCCATGAGGGCAGGGACTTTGGGCACAGTCACTGCTGCATCACCAGTGCTCAATAAATATTTGATATGTGATGGATAATGTAAGCATAGGGCTCATGTGCTAGTTATAACTGTATTATAATTATTATTGCCTCCTGGACCTCATTCCTAGGATGTCCATCAGGTGTCCCAGACACTAATTTGGCCTCTTTCCCCCTCCTCCTTTTGTCTTCATCCCCACCCCACCCCATCATCAAAGCCACAGGTCCTGTGCTTTTCCCTTCTCATCATTTACTCCCCTGCCCCTGCTTCCTCCTCTCTTCCTCAATTGCTGTTTTCTATCCCTCCTTCCTCCTAAATTTCTGACCACTTCTCACCCCCTCCCCAGCCACCACCGTGATCCTGGCCCCATCATCACTCCCTGGACCTGTAGAGTTTTCTACCTACCTTCAGGTCTCCCTGTTCTGCCCACACCTGCACACTTCCCACAGCAGTCAGAGGGAGTCTTTTAAAACATGAGAGTCAGATTGTCTCCCTCCCCTGTTTAAAAATCTTTTAGTCCTTCCTTTAATAAGCATTTACTAAGCACCTACTAACAGTGCTCTGGGTGCTGGGGATGCACCATTGAACAAGACAAAGTCCCAGCCCTCATGGAGCTGACAGCCTGGTGGGGTCAGGAAGAAGAAGCAAGTAAACAACACTCACAAGATAGTTTCAGAATGGGAGACCTGTAATGAGGGGAATAACCTGGGTTATGTGATGGTAGAGCTCCTTAGCTAGGAAGGCAGGGAAGGCATCCCGGAGGAGGTGGCATTTGCACTGCATCCACAGGTGGGGGTGGAGATAGTGGGAACAATATTTCAGGCAAAGGAGACAGCAAGTGAGAGAGAGTCTGATGGGTCTGAACAGCCAGGAGGCCATGGTGGCTGGGTTCCAGGGCCCAGACATGAGATTAGGTGAAAAGGCGAGGCTGTGGAAGCCAGACTAGGGAGGACACTCCGGCCTTTTGTCAGTAGGCTCCTGGGCAATTGGCTTGAAGCCCTGCACATTTCAGCCAAACCCCCTCCTTACCCCACCACCATTCACCACCCCACTTCCTGAAAACCATGCTGCAGCCTTGTGGGGCTGTGCACTGGTTCCCCAGACAGAGCTGCACTTCTGGCCCAGGCCACTAGGCTTTTGCTCTCACGGTGCCCTCTTCCTGAAATGCCATCCACCTCCCCTATCTTTGTAGACTTTTCATCCTTCTTTGTAAACTGACTCAAAAGCCATGTCCACCTCATGAAGCCTTTTCTCCTGTCTAGGTCATGCTCTCCTCCCAGCCCCACTCTAGCATGACTCACAGTAATAATAGTATTAGTAAGGATGGCTAATGTTTATATTGGGTGCTCACTGTAAGTCAGACACTGTTCTGAGTCCTTTTCACATAACATTACATGAAATCCTGAAATCCTCACAGCACCAGGAGAACAGGGAGGGGTGGGGGACAGGGGAAGGGCTGGGTACCAGAACCATCCTGATTTTTTAGATGCAGGAACTGAAGCCACAGAACTTTAGTGGCCTGTCCTCAGTCACCTAGGATGCAGATGTAGTTAAGAGCTCCAGCTCTGGAGCTGGACAGGTCTGGATTCACATCCTGGCTCTTGTTTGGTTCCCAGCCATAGTGACTATTCTTTGTGTTGTTCGTGGGGGTGGAAGGACAGAAAATGCTGTGTTGGAAGAGGTGGTGATGGCCGGAGAAGGGACAAGGTTGGGGAGATGAGCCCTCTTGGAAGAGCTTGAGAATTAAGAGGGCAAAGCAGGGTGGGATGCCCCACTAGTTCTAGTGGGCTCAAGGGAGACTCTCTAAGCCTGCCTGGCACAGGAGCTCCCCAACAAGGAGCCTGGAGAGGGTCTGGCCTACAGTGCTGAGGATGTCATCGCCCATACTCAACCAGAGCCCCCAGGAAGCTTCTGTGACCCCAGCACCTTCCAGGAAGAGTCATGGATCAACTATCTAGAGAAAGAGGCTCCCACTATTTCTCCAAGGAACACTTAGAAGGAATAGTGGAAAGATAGGTTCTCCTATTAAAACAGCAGCTAGGGGGCCAGCCAAGTGGCACATTGGTTAAGAGTTGGTCCAGCTCTGAGTAGCAGGACCCCGGTTCGGATCTCACATGAGGGCCAATGACGCTGCGCCCTCTACAGCTAAGATGGTGAACAACAGCTCAACCTGGAGCTGGGCTGCCGTGAGTCGCTGGTGACAGCGTAGGCCGGCCGTCCAATGGCCAGCGAGTGACTGCCTCACCTGGGGAGAGCGCAATGGTAATACTAACATGGGTCAGTGAAGCGACGTCCTCCACAACTAGACTGAAGAACAAAAGGACAGCAACTTGTCTGTTCCTCTTTTCCGATTCCCCAATAAAATCTTAAAAAACAAAAAAACAAAAACAGCAGCTGGGGTTCAGGGCACAGGTGGAAGCTGTTTTTCTCAAACGTGTCCTGGAGACAAACGATCATGTAATTCCAGGCTATATGATGTGGGCGATAATTTTAGGTGATGCAATTTTAGGTGATGCATTAAATAACATTGAACCACATACTGAGAAAGTCCTACCTTTTTTCAATTCTTAAAATCCTTTATTATCTCTCTAGGAGAGAGGCTTACTGTCTCTGGCTCATATCTCTTGAACAATTTTCTAACCCTCATCTCCCTTTTAAAACAGAGCTAGGACACAGACTGAGAGCCTGCAGTAGGCAACAGGATCAGGCTAGAATTTTCTTCACCATGTTTTACTGTGAGATTTTTTAAACATTTAGAAAATGGAAAGAATTGTACAGAGGATATCTCTGTACTCATATCCCCACCACCTAGATTTCACTATTAATACAGTATTTTGCTTTGTCACCTCTCTATCCACCTCTCTATCCACCCATCCATCGTCTTGTTTTTTGATACATTTCAGAGAGTTAAAGATTTGGGGGATCTAATGCATAGCACAGTGATTAAAGTTAATAATACTGTACTGTATGCTTGAAAGTTGCTAAAAGAGATTTTAAATGTTCTCACCACAAAAAAGAAATGGCATTATGTGATGTGTGGAGGTGTTAACTAATGCTACGGTGGTAATCATTTCAAAATACATAAGTGTATCAAATCAACACATTGTAAACCTTAAACATACACAATGTTAATATCAATTATATTGTAATAAAGCTGGAAAAAATTAAAAATCAAACAACGAAAATTGAATGGCATCAGTTCTCTTTACCTCTAAACACTTTAGCATGCATATCGTTAGACTTCAATATTTGTTTATGGCTCTTTTTGTAGTTTCTTTTCTTTGAAGGTAAAATTTATACACAATGAAATGCACAAATTTAAGTGTATATTTGCTGAGACAAAGGCATACACCAGAACAACCCACCTCTGTTAAGGTTCAGAACATCACCGTAACTCAGGAAAATTCCCTCATGCCCCTTCCCAGTCAATCCCACTCCATACTTCCAGGCGCAGCCACTACGTGTGTGTGTGTGTGTGTGTGTGTGTGTGTGTGTGTGTCCACAGATCAGTTTTCTAGCTGGAATTTTTTTTATTTTTATTTCTTATTGGGGAACAGTGTGTTTTTTCAGGACCCATCAGCTCCAAGTCAAGTAGTTGTTTCAGTCTAGTTGTGGAGGGCATAACTCAGTAGCCCATGTGGGGATCGAACCGGCAACCTTGGTGTTATGAGCACCACACTCTAAACAACTGAGCTAACTGGGCACCCCTATAGCTGGAATTTTAAATCATTGGCATTGTTTTATTTTCAACTTTAGTTTTACTACTACTTATGGGAGGTGATACTGGTTTCTCATATGTGGTGGAAACATATTTACGTTTTTAAAAACTGAGTCAAGGGGTTGGCCAAGTGGCTCAGTTGGTTAGAGCGTGAGCAACAGGGTTGCTGGTTCGATTCCCACATGGACCAGTGAGCTGCGCCCCAGCTGAGCTGCCACTGAGCTGGTGAGAGCGCGTGCTCTTAACAACAAGGTTGCCGGTTCTACTCCTGCATGGGATGGTGGACTATACCCAGCCCTTCCCTGCAACTAGATTGAAAGCAGCAACTAGACTTGGAGCTGAGCTTGCGCCCTCCACAACTAAGATTGAAGAACAACTTGACTTGGAGCTGATGGGTCCTAGAAAAACATAATGTTCCCCTTCCCCAATTCCCCAATAAAATCTTAAAAAAAAACAGAGTCAATAAGTCCTC